ACTAAAGGTGGCAGCAATTTATTTTCTCATCAGCAGTGTATCAGAATTCCTTTTTCATCCTCACCCACACCAACACTTATTATTTCTAATCTTTTTCATACAGACCATTTATTCTCATAGGTGTTGGGTGGTGACTTTTATTTGCATCTTCCTAATAACAAGTGATGCTGAGAATTTTTCCTTTGCCTGTGAGTCATCTGCAGGCCTTCTTTGGAGAAGTGTCTACTCAGGTCTTTCACTCATTTTTAAACTGGTGTTGCTTGTGGGGGGTTGTCTTTGGTTCTATCTTACTGTTTTTATGTTGAGTTGTGTGTGTGTTCTTTATAGACTTGGGGGTCTATAAAGGGGTGTTCAGAAGAATATTGTGAATAAAGGATGGCAGAGGAAGGAAGATGAGAATAGTTGAGACTTCATAGAAGGAACTAGTAGGCAGATCAGAGAAAGTATTGAAAATTTGGTGGGGTTGGCATGTCAGAGAAACCATTTTGAACAAGAGAGTATCTATTTGAACCCCTTATATGTTCAAATATCTTCTCCCAATTGCTCAATTGTCTTTTTGTTTTTATAGTTGGTTCTTCTGTGTGTAAAATCTTTTTAATTTGATATAGTCATATCCATTTTTTTCTAACTTGTCATTGGTGTTGAGGGAAGACTTTCTATTTAAAATAGAATATCTGCAGGCAAAATTGACAACTCCACACCAGTGCCAAGAATTTCTTTTCTGTGCTGCATCTACTCTGCTCCTTTTATTATTGCCCCATTTTTTAAGTCAGGGAAGGAGGAGGAGTTTTGGTGATATCTGTAAGAGCTCTAAGAGGAATCAGGATTAAGCAAAATCAACTTAACTCCCCCCCCCCCCCCAAATGTAGACAATAAGATGTGAGTTAATGTCCACCCTTTAATGAATAGGAGCAAATTTTAGTCATTTTTGGGGAATATTGAATGCTCCCCATCATGCACCATGCAAAGTTTTTTACTTGTTGAGATGCTGATCTTAAGTCCCCAGAAATGGGAACAAAAAAGAGTACTACTAACCTCAGACAAGTTTTCCTGGCAGTAGAATCACCAATACCCTACACTTACTTATGAGCAAACTCTCTAGTAAAGGGCTAATTTATGCCATTCCAGATCACTCTGGCTCTGACATTGGCGCTGTCTGAGCCTCAATAAGTGATCCAAGTCTATGAAAGAGGAATGGCTAGGGAGGGCCCAAGAGGCACCAGTTTTAGTAACACTGTACAATGTTTGGAAGCATAGTTGTACTTAGAGAAGAAGTGGTGAATCGTTTGCATTTGCTTTTCTTCTTTTAGCCCAGAAAGCAGACAGAACATCTCATTACTGGGAATATAAGCAGACTCCTGTCAATCTTCCTGAAAGAATACCTTTCACACGATTACAGTGTGTTCTATAGTTGTCAAGTGCTGTGTCTTGCTCAAAACCCTGCTCCTGAGTTACTTTTACTCATACCAGTTCTTTTCACACTCTGACGTCCTGCCTAAAATAGAACTCACAGTTCTACCTTCTAAACGAATCCAGTTTCCCTGGATCTCCAAGTCAAGCCAATCTAATGGAACAGAGCTTCTTGAGCCTAGAAAATAGAGTGGCTAGGTCGGATGGATCAACCACCCAGTTTTTTGAACTCATCATGAGAAAGGGAAGTATACATTTCAACAGTGGAAATGTGCATAGGGGCTGCACATGCCACAATATAAGTGAACAAACATGCCTTGTATATTTCACAAAGCAAGTGTGGAACTGGAAAATACCCAGCAGAGGCGTAAGACAAGGAGCTTTCTCCTCAAGGCTCCCCATATTTCCTACGAAGTCATAGGACAGTCTTTGAATCCTGAGCTATTTAATACAAAACCACTCATCAATAAAGTACTTATGTGCTCTGATCTATTGATGTGGACTCTTCCTGACCTTGTTGGCACAGATGGACTGCAGTCATTGCTGATGCTAAGGGACAGACACCGCAGCTCTCTGGCAGGAGAGCAGAGCTGCAAGCTCCCTGGGGGGGGGCTGGCCACGCCCACAGTAATTACTTGACCTTTATCAGCCTCCATTGACAACTGCCATTGATACTTGACATTCACACAGCTCCTCCATTAGTGCCATCCCACAGGGACTTTTGTGGTGGAAGCAATGACCCAGTGAGAAAGGGGAAATTTTTCTGTCATGATTTTTATCACTGAATGGTGTGGTTTGGTGGCTCTTCTGTGTCTCACTTGTGGCTGGAATCCTAGGGATAACTGAAATTAGAAGCCATTGATTCAAAGAACATTTATTGATAAAGTATGTTCAGGGTACTGGGGGATTAAAGTAGTGGGATTCATAAAATCCATCCACAAGAAGTTTATTTCTGCTGAAAAATTACAAATAGGGCTTGCTGTCTTTTCTGGGTGGGTTTCCTTTATGTTCTCTCTAAGGAAGAATTCAGGAGACATCATAAAAAAGCAAACATCTGGGGGTCAGTCAGACCTGGAGTTCAGCTCCAGCTCTTCCACTTATAAACTCTTCCATCGAGGGACAACTGTGCTTCCATGGCCTTAATTATGAACCAAAAACAAACCAATGCTTTGTTGACACCTCAGCATTGTTGAAAGCAATGCTTTCAACACAGGATTTACTCTCATTCTACATTTTTCTAACAGTTCTATTAGAATTACCCCTAGTAATTACTGATGTTAAGAGACTTAGTGGCCCCCATACCACGTCACTGCAGTCCATTCTTGGAGGTAGCTGTGGAAAAAACCTGCAGAACCGAGCAGCGTTACCTTCCTGTGGTATGAGGGGACTCCCAGTCACTGGGAAACATGTATTCCACTTTCATTTCTCACAGATTCACTCTGAACCTAACACCTCAAAAATGTGCTCTATGTTCCCAGATGTCAGGGACACCCAGTATCTCCTTACTTCTCAACACAACATTTGCACCACACCAGGCCCTTTTAGCCACACTTCCCACAGTCCCTTTGCTAAATTTAGAGGCTACTAGATGCAAAAATCCTCCCCTCGTACCCCAGAACCTCTTACCTTTTAAGTGCCTCTTAAAAAACACTGCATTAGAGCTAGAGAGATAGAACGGGGGTTAAGGCACATGCTTTTCATTCAGTTTACCCCAGTAGCATCACCAGGTCCAGCCCTGAAGGTCCCCGGACATCACCAGGTGGACCCTGAATTCTCATAGATTCAGTGTAGTAACCCAGGGTAGCCCCAGCACCTCAGAGTCTGAGCAGCACCATTTCCTTAGGCTCTTGCATTTAGGCATTGGTCCAACTGACATAATCAAACTACTTAGAGGCAGGTCAGATCAACCTTGGCCCCAGAGTATAGGAATGGGGAGAAAAGAAATAGTGGAGGGAAGAAGAAACAGATGAGAGGCAATAGGGGCCAGGTGAGGGGAGATTGAGGTACAGCAGTGGTGTTAAAGAATGATAGGCCTAAATATCCAACCCACAGAGTCAAAAATATGGAATCAGAAGAACCAAAATTTAACAACAGAACTTAGAAAGGTGCCTGTCAAGTGGGCAGGTTGGCAGAGGCAGGAGGGAGGGAACCTGGGAACACTGGTGGAAAGAGACTGACACTGGTGGTAGGATCAGTGCTACAATATTGTATACCTAAAACTCAACTATGAATAACTTTGAAAAATCATGGTGCTTTCCAAATAAAGGATGTTTGGAGGATCCTCCCAGGAGGGGAGATGCATGTAGAAAGTAGACTATGGACTGAACATGTTTGCCACTCAATGCCTCTTTTGCAGACCACAACACCCAAAAGGAGAGAGAGAACACAGGGGATTGCCCTGCCACAGAGACAGGGGGGATGGGGGGATGGGGGTGGGAGGGATATTATCCATGGTGGTGGAAAATGGGCACTGGTGGAGGGATGGGTATCTAATCATTGTATAATTGAAACCAAAGCACAAAAAATTGTAAATCTACAACTTTAAAAAAAATAAAATAAAATAAAGGAAAAAAATCATGGTGCTTTAATAGATTTTTTAATTTGGGACAGGAAATAGTACAGTAATTGGTGGGAAGGCCTAGCATGCACCAGACAGGTCAGTTTCTTGCAGCAGTGGTCCCCTGGCATCTCCAGTTGCAGTCTTGGAGGCCCTGAGTAATCGTCAGGGTATCCCAGATACCCCCACACTACAGGGCCTAGGTAGCTTCACATCCTTGGGCCTTTGCACTGAACCGCCTGCCCAGGTGGCTGAGAATTGCCTGTGAGCCCACTGGACATCCTGAGCACCATTTGGTAGTCCCCCACCAATGAAGCCAGAAATAAATCACAATGTTTTAAAATATTTTTTCTCCAATCTTTTGAGGTTATTTGACCTGTTCTGAGTTTCCAGCATTTGCTTATGATATACTTCTCTCAAGTCCTGGAATGCAAATGTAAGCTCTTAGACCAAAGGTCCATAGTGGTAGGCCACGGCTGTGAAAGGAATTCCAGCCTCTGAGTCAGGGCTCTAGATCTCAAGCTCCCTAAGCACCTTCATGCAGAGACCAGGAAGCCCATTGGGGTGTCAGGGAGGTTCCTGCTCACCTTGAGTGGGGAATATGATGTCTGAGAAAAGGACGTGAGATAAAGCAGAGGAGAATACACATGAGTGGGAGGACACGAAGAAGCACATCATGCTTGAGGAGTCCTGCAAAGGAGGAATGGGGGTCCCAGGCACAAGAGGGACTGCATGCCAGGACAAGTCCACTCTTGAGAAGCTTATGAGAATACAGCAGGTGTATGCCCCAGCCAAATCTTCATGTTTCTGCAATCACAGATGTTTGATTTTATTTTTTAGTAGGATGTTTTCCCTCCTGCCCACAAGCTCCGACCTCTGCCCTTTTATTCCAGAACTGCCTCTCTCAGAGTGTTCCCAAGTTTCGAATTATCTCTCAGGGAGCCTCCTAAGATCAGGCATGAGTGGTTTCAGCTGCATAAGCAAACCCATAAGCCAAATTAATTGCCTGACTTTGAGCTTGAATCTCTTACAGATAATTGGAACCATTCCTCTGATGCCCAGTCCAGGGCCCTCAAGTCAAGCTGCTGGTGGCACGCAAGGCCTTCAAGTGCAGCCCATCACCCCCCAGCTCCTGACGAATGCCCAGGGTCAGATCATTGCCACGGTCATCGGGAACCAGATCCTGCCTGTGATCAACACCCAGGGCATCACGCTCTCTCCCATCAAGCCCGGCCAGCAGGTAAAGCCTCCATGGCAATGCAGTTATAGTCACCAAGACACTCTCCGTATGCTCTACCATCATTAGGTATCAAGAAAAAGTAGCGTTTTGATTTTAAAATACTTAATCCCACCAATCTAACATATCAATACCTATAAAAAGACAAGCGGTTCTTATCACTCATTCTTAGTGTATGTGAGTAACAACTAACTGGCTCCCCAATCTAAAAGTATGAAATATCAAATTGTGAGCAAATATGGTGACCTAAAATTCAATCAAAATGTGTTTTTATTTATCTGTGCTTATGATACCAAATTTTCAGATTTCTTTTATATACAACATGGCTTTCTTTATTTTCCCTATAACAGAGAAATAAGTCTCTGATCAAGCAACGGTATGATGAAATTAATCTTGGGGAATTTTTTATTACTCAAAAAGTTAAACAATTTTAATAATGTTAATAAGAAACCAAAATAAATTGTACATTAACTACAAATGAATGCATATGTATATATGCATATATGTATGTATAATTATTAAACATCAAAATATTCCAGCTTGCTGCTGCTGAAACTCCTACCAACATTCACTTGATCACTTGATCACTTGACATCCCGTTACTCATCGATTTGCTCAAGCGTGCTCCTGTAACATCTCCATCCATCCCTGTCGCGTGCTAGTGTAGCCCAATGGCGTCTGTTCATTCTAGGAACATGAAGAGCCTCAAACCGATCGTTCAGGGTCTTGGTGAAGAAGTCTGACCATCTCATAGGATGTGAAGCCACAAGATCTATTGACATCCCATGGAATCGAGTCGGTAACGGCTGTAGTCCAGCAGACATCTCCAAATCGCATTACGTGTCCAGCCCATCTGATATTCGACACCTTGGCAAACGAGACAGTGTCCCTGATACTTTATGTCTAATGGAGGTCGGAACTCTGGATTCTTTCTCTCATTTGAGTGAAGCATGATACTCCAAGCATAGCTCTTTTGATTCCTCTTTGGGAGACCCGAATAGCATTCTCATCCTGTTTTCATAGGGCCCAGGTCTCTGAGGCAAATGTTAATACAGGAAAACAGTGGAATTGAAGAGATGTGCCCAGAGCTTGAGGTTCTTCATCCTCTTAGCTATTTATTCGACTCTCTTGAAGGTATTCCAAGCCGCTCTCTTCCTCCTGTGAAACTCAGGTGCCAGGTCATTTGTCATGTCGACTTCTCGACCTAGGTAGAGATAACTTCCATTCAGAGATGGTCGTTCCATTGAGAGTGAATGGAAAGTCAGGAAAGTCCTCCTGTTTCTCATAAACATTGTCTTTGTGAGACTCAGCTGTAGTCCGACTTTTCCACACTCACGGTCGAAGTCGGCCAGCATTTGTGCTTCTTGGCTAATGTTTGATGTTATTAGAACGATGTCATCAGCAAAGCAGAGGTGGTGTAGTTGTCGACCATCTATCTTCACTCTCATTCCTTCCCATTCCAGTCATCGCATGACATTCTTGAGGGTGGCACTGAAGAGTTTTGTTGAAATGGTATCACCCTGCCGAACCCCTCTCTTGACATGGATGATCACTTCTTTGTAGAATGGTGAGATCCTGGTAGTGAATCCGTAATACAGCTCATGGAGGATCCTGATGTATTGAGTTTGAATGCCCTGTTTGACTAGGGCTTCGATGACCACTTCAGTCTCAACAGAATCAAAGGCCTTCTTTAAATCAATGAATGTTAGACAGAGTGGCATCTTGAACTCCCGAGAAACCTAAATGAGCTTGATTATATGGATGTGGTCGATCGTGCTGAATCCTTTGCTGAACCTGGCTTGTTTGCATGTTTGTCCTTCATCTAGTGTTCTGCCAATCCTATTCAGGATGACTCAAGTGAACAGCTTGGAGATGACAGACAATAGGCAGATTGGGCGATAGTTGCCAATGTCGTGGATGTCTCCCTTCCTGTACAGTAGTACAGTCCTCCTAGTTTTCCATTGGGACAGAACCTTGTATTCAGACAGGTAGCGTGTGAAGAGCTGAGCCAGTGTATTGATGAGTACCAATGGCAGATTCTTCAGGTGTTCGGGTCTGACCTTGTCTGGGCCAGGTGCTGTTCGTTTCTTTACCAACCAAATGGCATGTCGGATTTTAGAAGGGAGAACGTTGGGAATGACATATCCATCCTGTGGAATTTGGTATGTGGGCAGGTGGACGTGGCTATCGAAGAGATTTGAGTAGAAGTCATGGATAATCTTCTCCACTGCCCTTCTGGAAGATGTGATAGATCCATAAGGACATCGAAGGGCAGTCATGTTGGTCTTGTAGTTGGCGAAGGACAGCCGGGCGTTGTGAATGCTTTTCCCAGCTTCTGCCACATCTGCCAGCACTGCTGCTCTTCTCTCTTTGAGGTCTTCCTTTATCGCTCCTCTGCACTGCTTTGCGAGCTCAGACATTCGCTTGCAGTTGCTTGAGGCTTGTGCCAAGCCACGCTGGCGAATAAGCTCAAGAGTTTTCAAAGACAGGCATTGTTTTGTGGCTATCTCTCTCTTGGAATTCTTCACTCAATCAAGGAGGTGCTGAACCAATCGATCATAGTCCTTATCAATATTGTCAACGACAGCATCTTCCCATGTTGTCACAATAGTGCCAAAGAGCTCCCAGTTGGTGGTCGTTCTGGGAATTCTCTTCTTAAACTTTGCAGCCTTACCCATATTCGGGAGTGGAAAATAAAAAGTGCCACTAGGTTACATTTCATTAAGACCATAACGATCCAGGTTTGTTTGTTTGTTTGTTTCATTTAAATTTCTACTTCCTGTGTGTTAAGCTACACACTGACCATTGAGTACTGACTATGGAACGTCTGGTTCTTTGGTTCTTCCACAAACATTTTTTGATATTTAACTGTATAGGAGAAAGAAAGAGCAGCATTTTCTGATTTCAAGAAGCTCACAGTTTTGTAGAGGACATAGATACATAAATAGAGCCCAGTTGTGCAATAAAGCAGAGAACATCCTGAGAAACACTGAATTTGCACCAAGTGTCACATCATCACAGAGATGAGAGTGACCAACTTTGTCCAGAGTTTGACCTCACAGAAAAAAATGGTTCAGGAACCAATGAATAAGAATTAATCTGGGAATGACAGACTAGCACTGTTCTAAGCAATGTGACTTAGCAGGCACAGAAGCGGGAAGATGTGAGGGAGGATGGAATGTGGAGGAAAAGGAAAAGTTCACATGATTGGAACAAAGAAGCAGCTAGGTATAGTTACGGATCAGTTTTCTAACCCAGCTGAAAAAAGTGGACTTGTCTCTGTGCAATCTTGAACACATTATACATCATCTTTGAGTCACAGTTTCCTCATCCTTAAAATAGAGATACCCTAGTTCCACCACACAGAACAATTGAAATGATCAAATGAGTTGAAATAAAGTCAGTGATTGCAATAGTGCTCAGCAAAAGGAAGTAAGTAATCATTGTAATGAAGGGGATGATTTAACCTGGTGGCCCAGGAATCCATAAGAAGCGTTTATTTTTAAAAAGGATGGGGGGAATGGTACTCAGCTTTAATTTTCAAAAGAAAACAACTCTGGAAGCAAATAGAGGTTTAACGGAATGGTTGAAAATTCTATACTAAGCAAGCCCTTTTGCATACTATGGACAAAACACAAATAGGAAATAGTGATATCCTCTGCTATAGAAATAGAACTAAAGGTTTGGGAATTAAAATAGAGCTCAGAGTGGATGAGCTGGATCAAAGCCATAAAGACATATGTTGTTGCTGAAAAGCTAATCAACATCCAAAGAAACTAGGGGTGAAAGGAATAAAAGGAGCCTAGAAAAACATCAGCTTTTTTCTTCTTCTTTTTTTTAATGAATTACTATGAGATACAGTTACAGACTAACAAATTTTTGTGATTATGAAAAACACCACCTTTTAAAGAACCAAACATAAAGGTATATTTTAAACACAAACAATCTAAGTAGAAGAGAAGCCCCAGCATATGAATTACATTATTTCCATGAGTTTCAAAAAAAAATGGGAAATGGGAAACAGTATCAGATGCTGCAGAGATAAAATCAAGTAGCGTGTAGGGAAATCCAATTCTTCTTGCTATCTTTGAAATGTTTTAAAATATGAATCATCTCTGTTTGAAGCATTTGAAACAAGTAATCCCATTAACTGGTAAATTAATAAACAAAAAATAATCAAGACCTGGATTTAAGACTGGAGGGCATATTAACAAAGGAAAGATCCTAAGCAGAAAAGACCAAAACTAAAAGTGAGTTTATGACTGAGTACATAGATTTATGTGTTGTTGGAAAATCATCTAATGTAAAGCACACCACAAGGAAATAAAATACAGAGGAAAGAGGAGATGAAATTTCCAATCCTTAATACATCTGAGTGAAGTACGAGTATCTGCCCTGAGACCTCAGCATTTCATCCGTTCCATGTCAGACCTATCCATGAAGAGAGGCCATTCTCAACGGCACTCAAAATCTAGTCTTGGAAAATTAACTTGCTTGTTCAAGAAATACTTTAAAATCTTTTCAATAAAGATTGCTGATCCAAAAAGGTACTGAATACCTATGTTCATTGTGATATTATTTACAATTGGAAATATTGGAATTCTGGAAACAACCCAATGATCCAAGGACAGAGAGTTAAGATGCTGTCTCTGAATCCCACCAACTCCACTTGGAATCCCTAGCTCCAACAGATGATCCCCAGCACTGCTAGGCACTCCCCCACATGCCGCCCCACACACCCTCCAAAACAAAGATGTGGCACACATAAATAGAATGGAACACTACTGAATTATTTAAAAAGATGAAATCTTGCCTTTTGCTCCAACATGGATGAAACCGAAGGATATCTGTTAAACAATATTAATCTGAAGAAGACCCAATGACCTCATTCATCTGTATTATGTAAACAAACAAGGGAAGAAGCTCATATCCCACTAAAACAAACACTTAAACTCTGATCATAGGCTGAGGTTGCTAACAAGTAGGATGGATTGATTAGGTAG